ATTATTTCAACTCAGATTCTTTGGAAATAAATAATTTTAATTATAACAATCTAAATCAAATAGGATTTTTAAATTTAAAAAAAAATCAACAATTAATTTTAATAATTAAGTTTTGAGTGGTAAAATAATTAGATTTATGATATTATTTAAATTAGTAAATAAAGATTTCCAAAAACAAAGGACGGTTTTTGTCAACTTTGAGGGGTTGATCTTTAGTTGTCAGAATTTGCAATGTAATTTTTTTATTATAACCATAGTAAAAATAATTATTACTAATAGTAGTATAATTAAAATAGGGTGTTTATAGCTGTTTTCACAACTCAGACGAACTAAATAAGAAATTCAATTTATATAAAATTGGTAAAAAAAGAACATAATTTGTCTTCTATCCCAATTATTTTTTAATAAACAAAAAACTGAGTTTAATTGTAATGTTGTTTAGTGTGTTTAAAAATATATAAATAGAATTAAAAGTTGATTAATAAAGTTGAATACTTTTGTTTCCATCAATCAATGTTGGAAACGTAAAAAATGGCAATTGAAGAAAAACAACTATGAAGTATAGTTACAGCCATTAATTCAGACCAACAGTGTATTTCATCTTTGTGTTGATTGAGTTGTATTTAAAATTAATAAAAACAATTTTAGGACAAAAACTCGACTTTTGACCAAAAATAATCTTCGGAAATAATCCTTGGAAATTGCAAATTCCAAATTTAGACAATGCAATTATTATTTAAAAAAATAGGTATAAAAACCTGGAATTTAATTTAATTAAACAAACAATGAATTCTCTCATCTTACTCTTAGTTGGCATTTCTTATGCCAAAATCGACTATGCCATTTATCAACTCAGTGGTTGTGGCGATTGGGGAACAACACGACTCTACAAAAGAGACATGTGCAAGAAGACATCGAGTGGTTCCGTTATGTTTAAGACCAGTGCCAATGGGAACAATTGCGACAAGTACGTCTACCAAAATTCTGATTGTTCTGGGACTGTTTCAGGTGCAGTCGATACCTCCTCTGGTCGTACCCTGAATCCACCAAGTTTGAATATTGTTGGTTTCTTTGGTGATCAAAATGGGGATGGTTGCAAAGATAACGACAAAATTGATGGAGTTTATGCGACTGACAGATGTTACAAAGATAACGCTTATTGGAGATTTACTATTGTCGAAGTCGATGGTAAAAATGAACTTCATAGAAGATGTTTCACTTCAACAACATGTGCAGAAGATCAGTACTATGATGGTGCAACAGAAAAGAGTGAATGTAATAAATGTACTAATGGTAACCTTGTCAAGTGTTATGGCGTCGATGGTGTTGCTGCTTGGACCGACTTCTCTGAGAAAATTCCAGAAGAATCAAAAGGTTCAGAAGAGCACAGCGAAAGTCACAATCAACAAAATTCAGCGTCGTTGATCACACTCTGCATTTCTATGATGATCATCGCTCTTATGATTTAATTTCACAATTTTTGTTTTACATGTTTAGTTTAATAAATTAATAGTATTAATTATATTAAAATTAACTAAATTATTACTATCATATTTAATACTATTGTTAATATATTTTATGATATAACAATATTATAATATAATCAAGTAAATCCAAGTATTAAAAATATACTATTTATTATAGTATACTTTTTTAAAACAAAACCCTATTATTTTTAATTGGTAATAAATAGTTTAATGTAATATTCAATTTACTTCTGTATAGAATGGTTTCTTACCGCTTGTTTGAATATACAAATAAACTCGTATAAAACCATTAGATATTGAGTTAAATAACGGATTATAGTAATAGATCTTTATCCAAAACACAATTCTAAATTTTTTGATTGTTGAGTGTTATTTTTTTAAATCAACAATTTCATTTAGTTAATATGTAAATTACAAATAAACTAATTGTTAGGCTAAAACAAAATAATTTTTATTGGTATTTTGTAATAAATTACAACAACAGAGAGTTGTACATTTTTTGTTTATCTTATATTTTAAAAACGTACAAAATGGTGTATTGAATAATAATAGAATTTTTGAATATTTTCAAGCTTAAGTTTTTTTGATTAATTTAAAATTGACCTCAAAATTATCATTTTTTTGAATTAAAACTGTAATGACATGTTCTGAGAGTTTACAATCAAAAAACAAATAATAAGTAATAATTATGCATTTTTCAAAGCCAACATTATTCATTTTAATATTAATTCACTGTTCTATTTTGTTCCTTGTATCAACAAAAAATAATTATTTCCTTTGAATTCAAAGTTTTTACAAACCAATAAAATGGCAACATTATTTTTCATTCGTAAGATGTTTAAGTTGAAAACCACAAACAATTATTTTGTTCGTTTTAATTGATTTTACTGATTTTTAATTGGAACAAATTACAATTTATTATTTTTTAATTATTACAAATAAAAATTCAATTCTTTTCCTGTTTGAGTGGAACTAAAAGAAGAAAGATTTATACCTTGAGATTCTTGTTGTTCCAAAGAAACTACCTAAAAAGGAAACCAAAACAAAATAATCAAACAATGATTCTTTTTTCACTGATTATATCAGCCTTTTCGACTCCATTCCTTCAAATAAATTCAAAAGAGCCTCGTGACGAAAACATTAATTGTAAGATGTTTACCCGCTCGATTTCATCTGAAGGTATACCAGATTCCACTCTGAAATGTACTGCCTGTGAAAATTCTTATTACAAATTAGATCCTACCACAGGAAAGTGCATTTATAACACCGCAAATTGCAATACAACCGACCTTTATTTGTACCTGGACAATTCTGAGTGTAAATTCTGTGATTATGCGTGCAATACTTGTGACTCAAGTGGCAAATGTACATGTAACTTTAATACAGATTTCAATACTTGTAAAAAGTGTGTTCAGACTATATCCGTCACAACTGGGAGTACAACAGTACTGAAGTGTAAATACTGTGGACAAGGTCTTGTCACGAGTACTGATCTCATGTCTTGTGAAACAGCCGAGTCTGGAGATGAAGTGAAGGATAACACCAATTGTGCTCTTTCTGGTTTGAACAACGGAAAGCAATCATGTCTCAAGTGCTTCGGAAATTATTCGTACGACTCGACAACTGGCCACTGCTCAAAAGACCATCACTTGATGTTTGGGTGTATCAGACAAAACGGCGAAACTTGTTTAAAATGCGACACTGGTTTCTATTTAAGTGGATCAGAATGCTCCAAAAATGACGAGAATTGCGAGACCTACAAAGAAGGATCTGATCCTTTAGTGTGTTCACGGTGTCGAGAAGGCTATTATCTCGAAAATGGAGCTTGTAAAATATGTACTGTCAATGGAGACAACACAAAACAATACGATTCTTTGTGTGATTTATTTGACACAACAAAGTGTAACCAATGCAGTCGAAGATGCAGTGTATCTGGAAATTCGTGTGTTTCAACTCATTGTCTTGAATTTGCTTCGACTGGGAAGTGTGGGATATGTGAAAATGGGTATTACCAAAATGGAGGAACGTGTCACTATTTGAGTGATAATGGGTTTGACCTCACTTCATCGACCAAAAAGTGTTTAGCTGGCTATTATGTTGATTATGACTCTGCTACAAACACTTACACATGCAAAAAGTGTAAAGGGCATTTTGCAGAATGTTTAACAGAAAATACACCGACACCAGGAACATCATTATTTGACGGATGGACACAAACAAAAGACGTTCCGTGTGAAGATGAGAACTGTCTCCAATGTGCAGATGATGGCAAGTTGTGCTATAAATGCACCTCTCTCAGTGGAAGTCAAAGTGTCTCTTTGATTAATGGGAAGTGTGTAATAACTCCTTCTTCCATTACGTTGGAATACATTGCTCAACCTCCAAAGGATGTTGGGGATTATGATACAACATATCTGTTCTGCAAGTACAAGGGGGTGAACACATTCTTCGAAGATGTGGTTCCTGCTCATACACAAGAACTTGGCTATAACATCAAATGTGATGTTGTTTATCGAAGAAATTACTTGTACAAAACACAAACAGAAGGTAACACTGAAATAGAGTGTGCAACGGGAAATAGAGACCCAAAGAAGAATTGTCAGTGTAAGACTGGGTATTACCAGGCAAATGCATCTTCGACTGTTGCGTGTGTGCCGGTTGCAACTTCATCCAACTGCCTCGAAAGCGCAAATGGCCAACAATGTACCGTATGTCCGACTGGAGGCAAATTCACATATGAAGGGAAGTGCGTGTGCCCAATAGGGACTTATCTCAAAGACAATGAATGCCAAACATGTCCAGAATTGTGTTCTGAGTGCACTTACACCAACTCGAAAATTGTGTGTTCTGCTTGTAAACCAACTGAATATTCCGGGCAAGGAAGAAATCCCGAAAAGAATTGTGAATGTATGGATAATTATGTAACAGAAAGTGGCAAGATTGATGTGTGTGTTGCTTTGATAGATGGGTGCAAAGAGGAAGGGCATTACTCTGTTTCGAACAAGCAAATATATTGCAAGGAATGTGATAAAGAACACTTCACAATCGGAAATGGACTCACACAATGCTCTCAATGTGTTGATGGGTATTACTTGGACACTGATGGAACTTGCAAAAAGTGCAATTTTGGTGTTGGGTGTGCGACGTGCAACAAGACAGAATGCACTAAATGCACAGATGGGAATGGAATACTTACTCCGCCGAGTGACAATGCTGCTGCGTATTGCACTTCATGTAAAACGGGATACGCGTATAAATCAGACGATGGAAGTTGTGTGAGATGTACGTCAGCATGTGATGGGTGCACTTATGACTTGACATTGCAGGAAACGCATTGTACTGCATGTAAAAACGACAGAAATCCGCCATATTGTATTTGCGATAATGGAGTCTATTTGGACCCAGATACAAACAAATGCAAAGAGTGCAACAATAACGACTATTGTGGAGTTGAATGCGATTATGGAAGTGACATCTATGTACATTGCTTGAAGTGTAAAGATCCACTGAGAAATCCACTTACCAACTGTACATCTTGTATTGCATCTAATCAATACCTGGACTCCACTGGATCATGCGTGAACTGCATTGACACCTGTGATATCTGCTTGAACGCTACATATTGCACAACTTGTAAAGCATCGACCTTCAGAACTGGGTTTTTATGCGAAAAGTGCTTGAATGGGTATTACTTGGACACTGATTCAAATCTCTGTAAAGCGTGTGATCCCACGTGCTCAAGCTGCACTTCTGAAAACGAGTGCACGGCGTGTGTGTCAGCGAATAGAAAACCAGTGAGTGGAAATAAATGTGATGGATGTGAAGACGGATACTATTGGAGTGCAACAGATAAGAAATGCTATGAGTGTTCAAATAATTGTTTGATATGCAGCGACTCGAGTGTGTGCCTTCAGTGCACTTCGAATAACAACTTCAATGAAGTCCCGGTTGATGGCAAGTGTCGATGTCAGGATGGATACTTGTTTAATGAAACAACTGAAACATGCAGTCCATGTGAAGAAAAGATCAATGAATTCTGTTCGAAATGCGAGAATGGGAAGTGCCATTTGTGCAACGCGGAATATTTTGAAGCAAAGGATGACAAATGTGTGTGCAAAGAAGGGTACTACACCACGTCATGGAATTCTTGTGTGCCATGTAATAGACATATTAATGGATGTTTGACATGTGAGAGTAAAGAAATTTGCACGAAATGTGGGGAAGGATACAAATTGAATGAAACAAGTGGGAAGTGTGATGGTGCGAATCTTTTGGTTATTGTTGCAATAGTTATGACAATAATGGCACTTCTTTAATTAATTTGAAACTATTTTTATCATTGTTATGTTTAACAAAATATTAAACATTTAAATTTTACAAGTGTTTTAATAGAAATAGTTTTCTGCTCATAAACTTTATTTGGTAACTTTTAAAACATATGAAATGGAATGTTTCTGATATCCATCCTATATAAAGCATTGTCTCTGGTTTTTTAACTTTTTATTTAATACCAATTGTTTATATTAAATAAAAGCTTTTTTGTTCACTAAATAATATTTGAAAAATAGCTAACCTTAAAAGACAAACACAATAAAATCAATGGTATTTGTATATAAGTTATTTCCTCTGTTAAAACTGATGTCACAACTTAATGATATAAAAAAATAAACTGTAGTCCAAAAGTCTGTACCGCCTTATTTTTAAAACTTCCTGAAATCCCGTTTTTTTATTTTTTATTTTTCCTAAAAAACAAAAAAACAAAAAATCGAAAGTACAGACTTAATTTTGAAAAAAATACCACTACCGTTCAATTATTTTCGTACAATATCGGGAATTTATCGGAATATTTGCCAGCTAACTTTAGTGCCACATTCGTAATAATAATTTAATAAGTTTAGAGAAAAAAAAATAAATAAATAAAATAAACTCCAATACAAATAATGGAAAACGAATTAACAGCACTATCAGCGCTCTCCACAATTACAACAAAAGCGGTATTAGATTTCCAAAAAATCAAGTTTGATTACAACTATGTTGACAACAAGTCACTTGACATTGCACAAAGAATTGAAAACGCGGATGGATACTTCGACAAACTTGATGAAATATTGGAAAGAAAGAAAAACATTTCAACATCACTTCACACAATTGTTACTGGTTTAAAAAACACTTCAAATGATGACAATGAGAAGTTCTTTGATATATGCAATCTCAAAATTGCACTTCTTAATGAAAAGTGCCAAATGGACACAAAACCACTCGAAGACCAAATTAACAAAATTGTTCAATTAAAGAACAAAAAAGTCGATGAAATAATTAAATCAGAAAAATTCATCAATTCGAAAAGACAACATGAAGAAGAAAGAATGAAGCGTGAACACATCACACTTGAAGAAGAAGCTGGTCTTGAGAAGTTGACAAGTATGAAAATAGGAAATGTTGTGTTTGACTCTAACAAAGACGACTGGTCACAAAACAATTCTGTTTTTGATGCAAAAGTTATGAACAAAAGACACCAATCACAACAAGTTTGGTGGCGTGTACACTGGAAATATTTTTGTTATCAATACGGATCTAAACAATGGCAATTCTTACATCTTTTCACTTGTGAGAAATGGCACGTTGAATCCAAAAAAGTTTGAGAAGACTGGGAAAGATTCTAATTGTGAAATTTATTTATTTTCTCAAGACAATGAATGTCTTTTTGAATTTGGTGGCGGTTATGATATAGCTGTGTACAAGAAAGGTATTGATGAGAATCATTGCAGTCTATCCACATTCACCGCCAAACAAATTGATATGATTGATAATTTCGATTTCACGCCAAAGAGTGTTGTTGTATTCCAACTTAACTGACTTGTTGATGACTTTGTGTTTTGATTTCGTTTTAAACATTAATTACACATGGCCACTTAAGCGCCAGTATTGTATTTTTGTCAATCATTTTTCGCGTTACATCAACAACTATGTTATTTGCTCTGATATTAGATTATTATTTAATAATTGAAAACAAAAATGCTTTTAAAATTACAAACAAATTTAACTCATATAATATGGGGTGATATATTAGTAAATAATATAGTATAAATATAATAAATACTATAATAATAAAATTATTAATTATTAATTATAATTAATAGTATTTATAAGCCCCATAATTTGAAAATTTCATATTATCTTTATTAAAGAACATAAATAAAAACAAAATTAGTCTGGGAAACCGGACTACTAATCTAAAATTGGAACAATACAGAGAAGATTAGCAAAACCCCTGCGCAAGGCCGGTTACTTCTACGAGAAGTTAAGGAATTTTTTTGATAAAAGACTCTTAACACTTTAAATAACATTGCACACAATTCAAGTAGTTTTAAGATCAGAAATAACAAGTTTATTTGATATTTTTCCTGTTTTTTACAAGTTTATAATGAACCTAACATTTTACAAACCTAAAAAAAATATCAAAACAATAACCATATATTCCTCAAAAGGGGGGCTGTTAAAAAAGGTTGTTATTTTACTATTAACAAACGCCAAAAAGAAAATTAAAATTAATTAAACAGTTTTAATAGTGATAAACAGATCACCTCTAATTTTACTTTCTTTTTCAAACCATCCATAATTAGCGATCTTTAATGTGATTTCGTCTTGAACAACAAATTGAATATTATCTTGATAATCCAACACAGTGACTGGTATAGTAATATATTTCCCAATAAACTCCTTTGACACTGCTATCGATTTAAAAACGTCTTTTCCAATGATCACACAACTCTCATCTTTTTCCATCGAAGCGGTAATCATTAAACTTTGATTAACTTTACCATCGACTCTGCCTTTACCTTCAATTTTATACACAATAGGCTCTTCTGAGTATTGAGGAACATTAAATTCTAAAATTTCTTCGTGAATGTTTATACTAAAATTGCCGCCTTTCATGAACAAAAGTTGTGGAATTTCAGTGTTAATAATTTCAACCATTTTTTTGTCTTTTTTGTAATTTTGAATATTAAACTCAGATTCCATTGTATCACGTTTTTGTTCAACTTTTGGTGTAGTTTGTTGTAAATTGTTGATTGTTGTCTGGAGCGCTTTAATAACACATTGTTTGGCTGTAATATCATTTTCCTGTTGATTTATTAAATTTTCATTTTCATTGATCTTTTGTGTTAACATTTTATTTGTATCTTCCAATTGAATAATGCGGTCTTCAAATTCTTTGTATATCTTTTGGCTCTGCTTTCTAAAAACAATTTGGCTGTCTAAATTCTCGGCAGACGCTTTTCTAAGTCTTTCATTTTCAATTTTCAAAGAGTCAACTTCTTGTGTTAAATTTGAAACTTTCAAACGCAAAACTTCGACTTCACTTGTATTATTTGTTAAATTTTGTTGATCTTTAATATCAAAATGTACAAAACTTTCATCTTTACTTGTTTGACTATTTTTTGTGTTCGAATTGTGTATTAATAAGAAGATTAATTGAATTGCAATTTATTTGTAATAACTAAACGTGCCTTAATTAATATTATCATATCCAAATAATTTTGTTTGAAATTATATTAAATATACTCAAGTATTTCATTTTATAAACGTATTATGATTTACAATAAACAATTAAAAATTGTTTCAAATTAAATTATAGAAACTTTGTAAACCAATTTCTTGGAGATTTTAAAAGTAAAGTTCTTGTTAACCCAATCCTTGTCTATTGGAATAATAATGTGCATTGTCTTTTGTTCAGATTTTAAGTTTTTCCACTGAACAGACCCAACAACAACACCAAACACTTTTTGATATGGTGACTTCTTGATTTGTTCAATTAAAATTTTGGTAACTGTAAACGACATATCTGTAACAAAACTTTTCTCTTCTTCAATTTTTTCGACATTATAAATGTAACTTTCAACACCATCTTTTTCATGGGCTAAGAATTTTCTTATATTATTGTTGATAGACACTTGATACTCTACACCATCCTTTTCAAAAAGAAAAAAATTTCCAAGTGATATTTTAAAAAGAACCCCTTGACATGCAATTAACTCAAAGTTATTGTTTTTCTCAATTTCTTTGAGACGTTCCCATTGTTCAAAATATAAATCGTCAAATCTTATTGTTTCATAATCTTTCGTTTTAAATGTTTCACGAGTTATATCTTTGTATTTACCTTTTTTTATTTTGTCTTCTTTCTTTAAACTTGTCATATCTTTTCTTAATGGTGTTGTTTTTTTTAAAACCACATTTTTTGTTTTATCTTTTTGTTCGACTGTTTCCCACCTTTTTGGTTCTTTTTTGACTATATTTGTTTGTGCCTTTTTAATTTCAATTATTTTATTTTGATTTGTTTTTATAAGTGACTGATCTTTTAAAGAACAATTAACTTTTTCTATTTTATCGTCTAAATACATATCACTGATTTCGCTTTTTTCTGTTTCTCTTGTATAATTTCCACTACATTCGAATACAATTTCTTCACTACTTACTTTAAGTGTGTTGTACTCCACAACACCTTTTTGATGAACATGCAACACGATTATTCCATTTTGATCTTTGTTCGTTTTATCATATCCATTCACATAAATATATTCACATACACTATCACATCTTGGTACTTCTACTGGAAATACCAATGGGAGGTTTGTATTAATCTTGATTTGACTTAAGTGACACACAACAACTGGAAACACACGTTTGTTATAGTCTTTTGGTATATCAACATCAAATACAATCACATTTTGTTCTTTAGAAAGAATGTCCAACACTTCATGTGTATTACTAAAGTCATGATTTTTATCCTTTTTATTAATTCCAATTAATTTGACGTTCATTTGCTTCATTTTATTTTTGCCTCTTCCAACTGTATTAATATCAAAAATATTATCTTTATCATCTATACACTCTTTAACACAAAATTCTTGATTATCAAACTCGAAGTGATAAAGTCCATTTGTGTTGGTTTTGTTTTCTTTATAACTTACCATTTTGTTTTGTGATAATTTGTAAAGTGCAATTCTCCGCTCTTCTTGTGCTTCTTTTATTATTATTTCAATTTGTCCGCCTTCTTCCCATATTTTTTGGTCATATTCCTCTCTCTTTCTTTTAATTTTTAATTTTTCTTTTATTATAATTTCTTCAAGTTTCTTCTTTTTTTGATTTAAATTGTCAATTTCTCGTTGTTTTGCGATAATTTTATTTTTTTCTGTTTCTATCAATATCTGTGTTGACTGGATTTTACTTGCAAAGTCCAAAAGTAAATTTTCTGCATTTTTCAATAAACTTCTTTCTTTTAAAATTTGTTCTTTTAAAGCAGATGGCAAATTTTCTGGTATTTTGTTATTAATTTTCCGAATAACAAAATCGCCAAACCCTCCACTTTTCTTTTTAAAACCTGCACCAGTCACTCTTTTCTCTTCACTTTTAATTTCTTTTGACATAAAATTGATCGCCAAAACACTCAAAGTATTAATAACATTTTTATATAGTTCTTTGATTTCGTCGTCATTTAAATAACACACAACATCATCATTTTCTCTTCTAAGTTTTTGATGGACTACTTTTAATATGAAGAATTTGTTATCAACTGAGAACATTTCACCGTCATTCATTGTTTGTGTGATTTTAAATGTGTAGTACTTAACATCTCCATTACTTTCTTTAATCACAACAGTCTTTGTTATTTCCATGAAATAGTCTTCAAATGATATTGCAACAACAATCGCCTGTTTCTCTTCTTCAACACGTCGATTTAATTCTAATTTTAAATTTTGAATATAATTCTGAGCAAGTGTTTGGTTGGTTATTAATTTGTTTGTATCCTTTTGAAGTATTTTTAAATTGTTCTGAGCATTTTCTATATCAAAAGTCACATGTTGTAGACATTCTGTTACATTTTTTAAATCATCAATTGATTTTAAAGGGTCTTTTATAAATGGGAGTGGTTGTGTTTGAAGTAAATAATCGATGGTATAATTTGGTTTGTCTGATTTTACATCACTTTTTAATGTTAATATTGCTGGAAGTACTACCCCAGCAATTTCAATTTTATCTGCATGTTGATCGTCACAATAATAAACAAAGTCATTAAATTTTTTAAAAACTGGATAAGGAACTTGGTCTTTAATTTCTTTCATTGAAACAGTGTTTATTTCTTGGTCATAATAAAGACTTAATGCATTTAAAAACATTTGTCTGAACTGTGTTGATACATTTTCTTTAACTTGGAGTTGATAAAAGTTGTTTAAAAGGCAATCTAAAATATTGTATTTTAATAGATATATTTGTGCCATACCCACTGAATTGTTTCCTTTGAAATCCTTTTGTATTAACACTGAATTTAATTGGACTGAATTGGATTTTACATTTTCTAATTCGGTTAATAAATCACATTTCTTTAATTTTTCGATGGAAGTATTGAAAGTTATTACCTCTGATATTAACACAGAAAGTCTGTTAATAAATATTACAAATATATCTTTGTTTGGCTCAGCTTTGTACACTTTTTGAAGGTCTTTTGTTGTATTAATAAAACTTTCAATTGTTTCTTTTTGAATTTCTGTGTATTGTACTTGCTTGAAAAAATCACATGAAGTCTGTGAACATAAAACAGTTGATATCATGGCGCTTTGTATTTGAATGGATAAAGTTTTTGATTTATCGTAAGTGGAGATCATTTGTTCAAACTTGTTAAGAATTGTATAAATTAATTCTTTTAGTTTGTCTATTGTCGTTTGTTGTAACGAACTAAGCTGGTATGACATCCTTTTATTTATCAGTTCAAATTTGTTTTTTGAATTAAATGATGTTTTTATTTTTTTCTGGTTTTTTTTTAACCAATGAATTATTTGTTTGAATTGACTTGAGCTACAGATGTGGTAATAATTTTAGAACCAGCACCATAATTTCAACTTATAATTAATAATTAATATACCATTACAAAAAACTAGATATAAATGGTTTTTGTAATAGACACTTTTTTTATAAAATAAATGAGAAAACTTGTTCATTATTATTAAAATTATGTTTAAATAGTAAAACGAAACCTTGGCACTTGTTTATACTTTAGTGCCACAACTGTACATTTACATATATCACAACCATTGTGTTTATATAGTACCACATATTTTTGTTTTAAAACTTCCAGACAAATGAAATTCTAAACAATTAATAAATTTATATCTTTATAAATATAAAAAATTGAATATTATTTACATTTCGATATCGTATCTAATTATGATAATTATTATTTTTTTAAATGTTATGAAAAAAATCGTACGATTGTTAAATAAATTTAATTTTGAATAAATTCATTTTATTTTTCGGTATTATCGTTTCAGAGAAAATTGAAAACAACTAATTTAAAAAAGAATCGATTTAAAAACAATAGTTATTTGATATAGATCAAATAGGATATTTTATTAGTTATTTTCAAAAAAACTATAATTTCAAAAACATGTTGTTGTTATTTTTGATATCATCAATACAAACAAATGCTTATTATTGTGACGACGACAATGGTGTTTTTTCCGAAACTAGTTCTACTTGTGTTTATAATAGTGGAGCATCACTCAATTCAGAAAAGATTCCAAATACCCTTCTTTTGACAGATTATATTTTTACAACAGTAGTTTTAAACGATTTTGATTATCACTTAAAACTAGGTACAACAACAGTCACATGTTCAGTCACTCATTTGACTATAAAATCAAACTCAAATAGTTATACGGAGTTTACCATTTTAAATGTAAAGCCAACAATTATAATACAATTAGACAGCGACCCCACAATATCTATAAGAAGACTATTTCTAAGTTCTTTGACACTTCCAAGTGAAATTATTAATGTAAACTCAAACAAAATATCACTAAATTTGTATTTAAACGTTGAAGGACTCGGACTTCCAGAGACAAACAACTATCTCTTTTAAAAGGATCTTTTAATTTGTTGACACCTACAAGGGCATATGTCGGGTATTTGTTTTCTTCTAATTCAAGTGAAATTACAACACAAAAATCGGATGATGGTGAAATAGTCTCTGTCAGTTGTGTAAATGGATATACAAGATACTACGCCTTTTATGATTCAAGAGAACACCAATTGACTTGTCAATGTCCTCTAGACGCTATTGATGATCGAAATTGTAAAGTAAATTTTACATACAGTACTACAGATTTGATTCACGTTTTTTTATGGCATCGGGTGACCAAAATATTTATAGAAAAGATACTAATTACCAAACTATTGGCGACGTTGGATATAATAAAGGACCAGTCTATACGTGTTTATGTATAGCAATTATATTTTTACCATTAAAAAAATGAATGGTTGCAATTTTCTTCTCTACAATAAATACTCGACAAAAGAAGAAGTTACTATTGCAGGTGGTATCGAAGGAGATTCAAAATTGATTACATTTGAAAGCGCCAATTATAATTATTTATATTTAGAAGCAAATTCATCGAAAGGATATATGGTGAAAAGTGAAACTACTTATAATGTTCTATTTCGAGGAAGGGACGGCACAACCTTTGATACAGTAAATTATCCTTATAACTTTTTGAAAACTAATGATTGTCAATGTTTGTTGATATATTTTTTAATAAATACAAATATATTTAATTATTTGTTATTAAAATAATTATTACCTCAATTTTACATTATATAATACAAATTATCATTATTATATATTAGTGCTTATTTGTTATTAATTAAAATGGCAACAACTCATTTATTCGATATGGTTTTACACCAGTTTATTATAAATAAAAAATTATAAATTGTTAAGTAAATTAATGAGAAGTGAGTTATATCACAAAATTGAACACAATAAAATGCCTCACGTGTCCCCCAGAACAACAAATGCAAAACAGTTTATGTAAATGTTTATATACAAAATTAGGAACTAATTGTATATTAAACAATTGCATTTCATATGAAAATGGAATATGTCGACAATGTGAAGACAGATACTTTTATGACGAAATAACTAGAACATGCAATTCATGTGGTCTTGATTGTAACAAGTGTGTAAATAACACTTATTGTTATCAATGTTCTTCCAATGATAATATTATAAGAAATGGGGTTTGTGTGAATTCGAATTGTCTATATTCGAACGGTGGGAGGTGTATAAAATGCGACAAAGGATATTACCTTTCATCTGGAAATTGTGTTGTTTGTATATTACAAAATTGTGATGTATGTACATGTGAATCAATTTGTTTGATATGTAAAATGGGTATTATTGGGACGGGTTTCTTGTGTAAACAACAGAGGATTTGTCAACACAAATAATAAACTGATATATTGCACATTAGCTACAGACTATTTGAGTGATGATATATGCAATAATTGTACGTCAGACATTTACAATTGTGAGATGTGTATGGATGGAAAGTGTATCAAATGTCTTGATTATGCCATATACACCAATGGAGAGTGTTTAACAGAATCGTCTTGTAATTCTATAACAAACAGTTTATGTCTTTGTAACTCAGAATCGATATATAATGGGAATGCTTGTATTTCGAAAAGAGAAAATTGTTCATATGATAGATTAAGTGGGTGCGATGAATGCATTGAAGACCATCATCTTGTATATAACACGTGTACGCTACAAGTTGAACCAAATTGTTCTCTTCAAATGTCATCCACTTGCATTTCCTGTGATTTTGGATTGTATTTAGAAGATGATGGCAACTGTGTTGAGTGTCCAATAGAGTGCACCTCGTGTATATCTTCGACTCAATGTATAACATGTACAAATGAAAAATACTTACAAGATCACACATGTATTTCCAGTGACGAATTGAGTAAAGTGTGTGACAAACCATTACTAACAGGGTCCGGGTGTGCAATCTGTAAGAGTGGATATTATAGAAGTGGTGATGGCTGTAAGGTGTGTAATACGGGATGTGCTACATGTACTGATGACATTAAATGCACCACATGTCAGAGTGATTATTTTATGACTTATGACGAGGGGGTTTGCAAGTTACAAAACACCACAATTGGGTGTGTTGAGATAAACACTGCTTTGGGATGCGTCACATGCACTTCTGGGTATTATTTATATCACAAAGAGTGTGCACCTTGCTCTGATAATTGTAATCAATGTACTTCACAAACAACATGCCAGACATGTGAGTCTGATTTCGTTTTGGTAAATTCACAGTGTACATCATTAGAATTAGTCAAAGATTGTATTAAAGTATCTGACTCCAAATGCTCTAAATGTACATTTTAACGCTCTCCGAGTATTGATGGATCATCTTGTGTAACAAAGGCGGTTTGGTGGGTGATATTTATAATAGTATTGATAGTTGTTTTATTATTAATTATATTACTTATAGTAATTGTCGTTGTCATCAAAACGATTCTTGACAAATTACACAAAAGAGAAGTTGAGAAGACCACAACAATTTTTAAAATGAAAAAATTGAATATCCACTTTGAAACCCTTCAAGGTGGCATTTGTGTGTCCTCAAAAACAGTTGATTTTAACTCCGAGAATGATGAAATTCCAGTCAACACAGAAAGTCGTGAAGTTTTCTGTGTTGGAAATTTGAATGAAAATGTTGTCAAAATTCAATTCACTTTAATGTCAAACGTCGACAAATTTACTCTTCGAGTGTCGCCCGAGTTGATTTCACTCAAGAAAGGCTTTGCATGCGAATTTTCGATGTATTTGACGCCGTTGTGTACTTGTCAGATTTTTAGTTCCATTCAAATTGTTCCAAAAACTTGAAAACAAACGACGAAAAGTTCAATGCAATCAAAGTTGTTGGTGTCACTGAAAAATCGACGCGAATTGATTACGACGAGTTAAAAGAAGATAAGAAACTTGGGGAAGGCTCTTTTGGAGTTGTTTACAAAGGAACTTTCAGAGGAAATGTTGTTGCAATCAAAAAGATGAAGAATTTTTCAAATGATGACAATTCGATGGAGGAATTTATAAATGAAGTAGACATGTTGAACAAATTTCGCAGTGATTTTATTGTCCACTTCTATGGCGCGGTGTTCATTTTAAGTAAAGTATGTTTAGTCACTGAATTTGCACAATTTGGGAGTTTAAAGGATTTGATGCAACATAAAAAAAGCGAAGAAGTTGAGACGAAAATTCGAATTAAAATGTTAGTAGACTCTTCAAAAGGAATAGCATATTTACATGAGAATGGGATCTTACACAGAGATATCAAGCCAGTAATATCTTAGTTGTTTCAATTAATTTGAATGATAAAGTGAACGCAAAACTGACTGATTTTGGATCATCAAGAAATATTAATTTACTGATGACTAACATGACATTTACTAAAAAAAATTGGAACACCTATTTATATGGCACCGGAAGTATTAAAACAAGAGAAATATAAGAAAAAAGCGGATGTGTATTCATTTGGAGTTACGATGTATGAAATTTTTGGGTGGTGTGAAATCTACCCAATAAATACATATAAATTTCCATGGAAAATAGCCAAGTTTGTGTGTGCTGGAAAACGAGTTGAAAACCTAAACAACATACCAAACAATTTATTTAACCTTATTCAAAAATGTTGGAAACAAAATCCGAAGGAACGTATTAATATTCAAAATATCGTTGAGTATTTAAAAAATAGTATTACTATTGAATAACGTACTTTATTTATTAATTAATTAATGTAGTAACTTTTCGTTGACGAGAAAAATTAAAATTTCTGAAAAATAAAATTCTTTGTCAATGTTAATGTAAATGTGATTGTTTTTCTTTAATTTTTTAAAAATAACTCAAACACTTTGGAACGACCACTCTAATAAAATTTTATAGTAAATATTTATTAAATTATAGTAAAAAAGTGTTTTTTTTGCTGAAGTTAAGATGAACAAAGGTTCATTCTATTGTGGAGTTTGCACAGCCAAAACCATATCACAAAAGCAACTTTTATTGACTACAGAACTTCGATTTGATGTTAGAGTCTATCAATCAAGTTGTTTTTTGTTTATAATTTATCTCGTTGTTATCTATTTTACCAATAAAAATCCAAGTTGTTTGCTGTCGAATTCGCTTGTTGTTAATATAACTTTATATAATATAAGAGGTTCACCCAACCGTTGTTTGTACAACAGCTTTGTTTTCACTGTTATTACACGCTTTGTCCACAAAAAAAAATAAATAATTCAAATTGTCCAAGTTCGTTTTAATTGAAAAAACCAGGTTTTATAATTAACAATATAAATTAAAAACAAAACTAAATAACAAAAATTTTAACCCATTTTTATCTTAAAACAACTTTTTGATATTTAACTTCATTTTAATAATATTATTAATTACTTATGTATTAATGAATTTATAATTAATAAATTATAATTACATAATATTTGAGTGTAAATATTCAAATAAAAAAAATAATAGTTTAAACTATAAATAAATATTAAATCTTATTAGTAACAATAAATAATAAACTAATAGAAAGTAGTATAAAAAACAAACTGTTATTTTATATATAAATAAAATAGAATAATTTTAATTACACATTAATAAATAACATTTGATAATGTGTTATTGTTGTTGAAATAATATAAAAATAACATCATTATATAAATAACTATTTTCAGTTTTTTATTTAAAATTTTATTATTGATAAACAAGAAGTATGGTATATTATAACATATTATTAATACAAATATTCTATAATTATTTTTTTACAATTATTTAATTCGATATTTAAAAAAATTAAAAAACCATTCGAAACATTTTAAAAAACAATATGATCAATTTATTTTAATTGCAATAATATTATAATATACTTAATAGCAACAATATAGTTTGTTTTTTAATGTTAAAATTAGGAGTTTACAAAAGGTTATTGTAAAGAAAATGGTATAATAAAGTACTAATTTAAAAGAGAAAAAAAAACAATTTGGTAATATACTGGTGATTTAAGAAATGAGGATTGTAATTTTATGAACCTCTGTTAGATTAAAATAAACCTATTTATTGATATGTTATTTTTTCTGTTCTTTTTAATAAAACAAATAATACCTTTATTAATTTACTATAATACAATTTTTTACTTTAATTGATACGAAGGCTTTTAAAAGAAGTTTTATTTCGACTTTTTTTATCAACACCGACATCTTCAAAAAGAAATTTCAATGAGAGTTTTTAGTTGTTTAATTATCATCAACTTGCTTTATCTAACACTTTTCGTTGTTATTTTTGTTTTATTCGTTGCCAACAACTCTCCAATTGACAGTTTTACTCTCAATTCATCTCCAACAACGTATTTACACACTCAAATCGATGTTAAACCAAAAAATAAAAATGTGAACAAAAACAACGAATCCAGTAGTTCTAATGTTAATATTCAAAAAGCAAACCAAACTTTTATAAAGTTCCAACAATCGACTTTTCACAACTCTTTTATAGATTTAAGAAATTTCAATTATAACGGGGTTTGTAAAGACGTTTATAAATACACAGCAAACAATGAAAGAGACTTGTGGCTCACTTCTTATGCGTACGAAAACTACAAATCATTTCTCAATGCAAATGTGACTACGCCGTTTGTTTTAGACTTACTCAACTCGTCAATTCCACACGCCACAAAAGTTTTTTTATTACTCTCCGACCCACCTTACAATACCTTTGCGAGTGAAATGAAGACAAAATACAACATTTCTGTCATACAATTTGATGTCACTTTAGATAACAAGACAAACAAAGGTAATGCCGCAACGAGGAGGATGTTAGCTTGGAAAGAGTGGCTTGCACCTCGTCGTCATTTGTATGACCGCGTCTTCATTTCAGACCTTCGTGACATTTATGTCTTTGGCGATCTTTTTGCGACGTTCTCCACTGATGATCTGGTCCTTCAAATGGAGTGTTTGGACACCAAAAACAAATGCACCAAATTCTTAAATGGGACGTTTAATTACAAGTGGATGATCAAATCCTTTGATTTAAAGACGGCAATTGATTTTAGTAAAAATGGCTCTATTGTTAGTAACGTCGGGGCAACGTTTGGGGGAACTGAAAAGATCTACGAGTACCTCACGGTGATGGCTAACAATATTAATATGACGAAATGGGACGTCTGGGGGTACGACCAGTGTTTACATAACTCGGTCATATACTCAAGACAACTCGACTATTTAAACCCAACACTTGAAAATGCACACAAAGAATGTGCGCTATGGAGAGAGAAACGTTATATATG